CACTCTCGGCTAACAGCCGGCAAGACTTTGGGGCTTAGGGCCACAATCCGTAACATGGCAGCAGTGGCGCATGGCCGTGAAGGCAAGTCGGCTCAGCTCGCTGGCCTTTGGCTTAGCCTGAAATACTCGATCAGGCAGGCACAGGAGCTGGCATGCCGGACGATTGGAATAATTACATGGCAAACAGGTATTCGAAAGCATCCACGTGCGTTGACACTGGCCCGTCCTCCTCTTTGGCCCAGAGTGCGGACTTGCTGCAGTTTCATATGAAGATGCCATGTCACTCCCGGCCTATGGCTTGCCAGCTCCCTGAGGCTGATCCGCCTGAAGCTGTAAGCTGCGACTCTCAGCACAGCAGCTTTTGACATCGTTGTCTTAGACATAATCCGCACAAATCCCAGCTAAGACAGTGAAAAGAACAAGCGGCATCCAAGGTTGTGGCATGCAGACAGGCGGCTGCACGCCCTATTGGGATGCCGGTCGCGGTACCCTTCGCAGAACCGTGCCATGGAAGTGAGAATCTGACATGCTCGGCACTGTCCAACCGGTCCTTCCGTCTGCTTGCCCCAAATGCACATCATGCTCCAGCCTGCACCCCGGCGACACTGACTTCACCTGAGGTGATATGAAGTGCAGACATGCTGTCGCTAGAGGGTGGTGTACCAGTGCAACACCTGCTCATAAACACAGAGCTGAGGCACTACCGACATCTCGCAGAACATACAGTGTTGCAGCGAAAGGAATGCAACACCTTGTGGATGGAGGACGAGATGCGACTTTCTTCATGTCTTCGAAGCATGTAGACCAAGCTGAGTATGGCCCAGAGAGTCCAGGCAAATTTACCTCGCTGTTACTGGCAGAAGGCATCCGTGCCAGTTTTGTGAAGATCTGGATGCTCCACAAAAACTGACTGCTGCGGCACGACAGACTCTCAGAAATCCCATCCGAAGAAGTGTAGGCGATAGTGGTAGTAACCGAGGCGGCAGCGAGGGCAGGGGTGGTGATGCAAGCACTACAAGTGGGTGGTGGTAGCTAGCAGTAGCAGTAATAGAAGTTAGAAGCAGCAGTAGCAGCAGCAGCACCAGAAGCAGAAGCAGAAGCAGAAG